ACAAAACCTAGTTTCATATTTCTCTCTCTGGGCTACAGCAATTTTTAACTGCATGAAAGAGATGCTGGATATGTTGTTTTCTGTATGAAATCTATAGGGAAATACAGGGATCTCAAGATAGGAGTACAAAGTACCAACCCTTCCCCACGCACCCCAGAAATATAAGGCACTCAATAGCCATGCTGAAATGTGAGAATTGGTCACAAATATGCATTTCTCCCTGTCTAGAACCCTGGGAATCTCAGAGCAGCTGTTAAAGGCTGCTGAAATCAAAGGAAATTATTTTATAGGCGCCAGCGGGATATTCCTTACTGTACCGGCTCCATCCACAAATTTCAGGCAGTTGTCAGCTCCTCCCTCACTGGCCATGTACTTGAAAATGAGATACAGGATTAACACCCATCATGGAGCAAATGGGGAACTACACAACCAACCTAATGCAGCAGCCCTAAAAGGGCTTAAGGAGATATTAACTCTGAAACCTAACAAAGTTACATAAACATCACTATGATTCTGATTTCACTGCAAGGAAACGAGGACAGAGGTAATAACTGTGTAAAGAATCCCAGGTTACTGCTTTCTTTGGCAGAGCCAGCTTTCCTGGATGGTCAAGGGAAAGACCTTTTCTTACTTTTCTCCAGTTCCACCTGTCATGCTAATCACCCTTTAAAAGCATGACTAGAATCAACTGTCTGAAAGACTGCCAAACAGATGCAATAGTTTGTCCTGTACATAGTTTAACAAAATAATGTACAGCAATAAGCTCCTCATGATTACAATTTCAAACTCCAATCCCGAGCTGCAAACTTACTTTATATTTGATTACAATCAAATAATAAATCACTGATTTACAGTTTCTATCTATTTATTCACAGGGCAAGCAGAATATGACCTGGAAGAGATTAATGGGAAAAACAAAGAAATAATGGAAGGTGGAAGAGAAGCTGCTTCTTTCACAACCAAAGGTGCAAAGAGCATTCTCAATAAGCCAGGTAAGCAACAAACGTGGTTGTTAAGAGAATATTTATGACAGCGGCAACTGTTTAACATCACTGAAGCATGCACAATGGGAGCAAGCTTTCTAGAAAATATATCTACAAAAGAGACATGCAGTTAGGTCTAACTATCAATCATCTGGACATGTGAATAAATCTACAGTCAGTGGTCCATGTTCTGTTAAAATCAACTTCTACCATACAGAAAACTTGCTGCCCAGTAAATAAGCCATAAGACCACAGGAGCTAAAATACGTTATACATACTATCACAAATAATATTATCTCAACTACTAGACCAGCAAAGGTTGGAATATTTAGATCTTATAGAGAATAAAGTGTATTTACAATGACTGGTTATATTCTCTGGTTAAGTTATATAGGTTTAAGATCCCACCACACTGAAACAATCAGATTTTTGTGTGTTTGTTTGGGTTTTTACTTAATTTTATAATTCACATTCTTTAAATCAGTGGTTACTGATCCACAAGAGCACATCTATATGGACTATTTAAGTCTCCTCTCCCCTGGAAGTGTGTGTATAACTCCCATTAATGCTAATGGGCATAAAGCACACGCATTGAGGACAAAATAGACCTCTCACTGTGAAAATAAATGTGTTCAGTTATTTTCAGACATGATGCCGAAATCAAACAACTAAAAGTACATACTCTAAGGAGATAACATTATATAGCCTAGCTGAAAACGTCACCATTATTTTTAACTCCCTGGTCACGGACCCTGCAATGTTCTTCATGTTTCTGCCATTTCTTGTGTCATAAAGACTATGACTGGATACCATATCAAAAAGGGCCAATTCCTAAACCCTTACACAAGCAAAACAGCCCTGATCTCACATTCCTTGCCTTCACAAAGGATGCAAGGTTAGGCCTCATGTCTTACATTTTCATTTAGGCCATATAATGTTTTCTCTTTATGCCACGCGGGTTAATAGCAGCAGTAAACCTTACTGTTCTCTAGAATAGTTCCTTAAAACTGTGATGAGTCTACCAAAGTAAAAATTCCTGTCACTTAGCTTTTTCCTTAATGATTTGATATCCTGATGTCTTCTGCCCTGATCAAAATTCATGGAGTCAATTCTGCCTGTTCAAACAGGTAAGAAAAATTGCTTATACAAGTAATGTGAAATTCAAAGACACTGCGCTTTATTGTAATACAAATACAATCATGGTTCTTTCTGATGGAACCAATGTTTTATGAATTTACAGCTGATCTAATGTGATATTTGGAACAGTCATGAGAAAAAAAAAAAGGTTTTAAAAGGGTGCAGTGTAACGTTAATGTTTTTGGTGAGTGTATTTAGGGTCTTTGTAAAATGGCCTGCTGACTTTCTAATGCAAGTAATCACACCCATCTTCCCAAATCAGAGAGATGCACCTTCAAATAAGTGGATGCTACTGAGTTATCAGTCAGGCAGGGATGAGTTCTTCCAGTGATGAGGCCTTTTCAGAAGCTGATGCTGCAGGAGACGGATAGAGTGCTATTGCTGAAAGGCCAACTGTCACAGCTTAATGTCAGGCTTTGCAATACTGCTGGGTCAAATATGAAAGCCAGGTGCTGCCAGGTGCTGTATGGTCCAGCTTCCAGCCCCTTGCCCCAGCCATGTGCTCACTCATCTACTCTCACACTGAGTCAGTTCACGGAGAAAAATACCCCAAGGAAAATAAAATCAATACTTCTCTGCTGATCTATCTCCCTCCCCACAATGTGGGTGGTGACAAGCACCAGCACAAAAACAGGGCAGCACGGGTTATGGCTAAAGATGGATGGCTGGTGGGGGACAAGGACTGCCCCTCTTGAACTGTCAGACCAGCCCCGTCATATCTCAGAACCAAACCCATACAAAAAGGACAGTCAAAAGAGGATCCCATCTGAGCCAAGGAACCAGCCGGTGTCTGCACGCTGAAGTAAAGAGAGAGCCTTAAAGGCTGCCATGTATCTGCCAGACACTTCCGAAAGTGCACGTGCATGCTGTGAATCCCCCGTGCGTCATGCCTGAGGACAGCTAAGCACAGAATAACTCATCAGAGAGCTCTTTATGGACTGGCACTGGGGGTTAATGACTGAAGAAGCTGTTACTGTACACGCCCTCAGTTCCAGGCTTGTGTGCTGCAAAGTATTTCTGCATCTCGTTTAAGGCTTTATAGTGAGAAGAGTTGTGCTGGAAAAGAAATGAGCACCCTTCTTTTTTAAATCAGAAAAAGCCACTAACAACACAGCAGCCCTGGTAGTATCTGAAGCTGTTGCAGCCCAGACCACCTCTCCTACATTTGGTATGGGAATTACTGCAGAGACTGATACTGCCAAAATGATCCAGGCAACAATTTAATGAGCTCCTTCATTCATTACAGAAGAGGAGGAGGGGCGGCGATGGCCCACGACCTGTCAGCAGCCATGCAGATGGACATTCATCTGTTTGCCTAAGGGTGTATGGAGCTGAGCTGGTGATGCTGGGGCTCTGCACAGGCAGGGCATGCAACATCCGCGAAGCAGAACAGATTTTCTAACAGTGATCCAGACTCACACAAATAAACACTGTTGAACAACTCTCTTGTCTTTTGCCTTTTCAAGTAATAGAAGTCTGTCTTTCTTTTTGATCTGAGTGTATCACTGTGACTCATTTTCCAAGCTGAAGTCTGATTATACAGAGGAAAGGCCAAAAACTTAAATATTACTTCTTCTGCATAGAACACTGAATCTGTTTTCTCCTGGGTGAGCTTGCAGGGATAAACAGTCCTATGAATGATTTGGTGTATGATATGCAAAAAAAAGACATTTCTACAGCCCGTCTAGACTCCCAGACAAGATCAGACTGCACTGTCATCAAAGACATTTCCATAGCCTGTCGTATCACTTGGAAGACAGAAAAACTACCTTTTCAGAACAGTCATGCAAAAATGAAAAATAAATAAAAACAGCCTGACCTGCCAGTGTCATAGTGGAAATCTGAACGCAGTAACCTTAGACAATTTAGAAATTATGGTAACAATACGGCAAGAAGTTTCAGCAAACATTCGTGAGGAAAGGCAACTCCTGCACAACTGAATGCAATCCAAAAATATGAGTCATGCACAAGCAATTTTGCTATGGGCCATAAAATCACTTTATGAGAGTTACAGATAATTCTGTATGTATTCTATAATGTTTCCCTACTGTGTAGAGATGGATATCTCAGTATCCTATCACAGATAATGATGGAAAACAAATTCTCTACATAAAAGCTGATTGCTCAGAGATTCACCCTTAACTGTTCCAAGGGATTGTAATGCCGACAGAACACTTTATACCGTATTCATCAACAAAGAAGTAGATTCCATCAGTGCCAAACACACTGCAGTTTAGATGGTTTTTATAAGATGTAGCAGGGTGAGTTGAGAGCAGCCTTAGACACAGAATACGCATCCTGCTATTTCTCAGCACCTACATGCTCTTTATCACACATGCACCTACCATCCTCCACAATGACACCTCTCATCTCCTCCTGTTAGTACTTTTGCACATATTCAGACATATTCAGCATTATTCAGTATTAAAAGAACAGATGTATTGTGTACATGTCATACTGAGAAAAATCTACAGCATTAATCCAGTCATGAAATAAGAGATACTGGAGTATAAACCAAGGGCCAACTTCAGAACAACACAGCTTCTTTTTGCACTTCTATTTTCCTCTTCATGTTCCTTTGTAACTTTTTCCAACTGTACACATAGAATCATTGAAAAAAAAGTTTTAAAAAAACTGAAAACTTTCAAAAAGGCTTCTCTCAGGAGACTTTAACTAGTTAACTCTTTTGCAAGGTAGCTTTATGACTAACACACTGTTGGCAACCTAAAATCAACAGGGACTCCGCTGGAAGAAATCTGACTTATTCTTTGGAGGTGTCCTACTCCTGTGTTACGATACATGATCTTATCTCAAACTTGGATGTGGCATTCTCCAGGAGCCGACCTTTGAAAAAAAAAAAGAAAAATCCAATAATAATACCTCTCCAACATCATAGATCCATATGCGGCCTTCTGAATCACCAACTGCTACCTCCTTCCCAGCCTGGGCCCAGCGGACACGGTTGAGGGCAGAAGCTCCTTCTATGGTGACGCTGGCTGTGGGAACCTGTCGAAACAATAGGAACAGGAAGGACAATAAAATCACGCCGCCTGCGAACCCGGGGGTCAGTGTTGAATGTCCTGCTTAGCTGGGTGAGTCACAAAGTCTCTTGGCATTGCTAGAAGTAACATACAACCCTCGTTGGGGGGAGGAAAAAAGGGTTCATTGTTTCTTCAATCACATGTGCTAAAAAGAGGAAAGAGTAAGAGATTGCTTGGAATGAGCAGGGAAGACTTGTCCACAGTAAAGGGCTGTAAACAAACAGTTTTTTCCCCTTAACCTCGGAGACACGCAAAATCACATCTGCTTCTTTCTGAGAAGTCACTGACTTATGACCAAGAACCAACTGAGGGTAGGACTTGGCTTCAGTCCTGCCCTGGCTTCTGGCCTCTGACTCTGGCCCAGATAACCTGACAGTCAGCAGACACATCCCTGATTCATACTGACACATCCTTTAAATCCATACTCACCTCTGTGCTAGATGCAGAGGTCGAAACTTAGGTATTACGTCAGAGAAGTCCTGAGCTAATCACTTCAGAGCGAGGACACAGCAGAAGTGAGAACAGCTGAGCTGACATTTAGGAACTCCTACAATATATTCCCACAATTCTCTTCTACATCCCCAGGAGACGACTTCTGCTTTAAATACACCTGGATGCTGTCTAATTTCCAACACCCCCCCCTGCCCCAAGTCAACCAACTTAACAGGTGATCCACAAGGAACACATAAAGATTCTGGTTAATGCGTGGGATGAATAAAGCAACGAACACGATCTTAGGAGAAGTATTTGTAATCCATGCTGGAATGAGGGCATCAAAAGATGCTGCAGGAGGAAGGAACTGTGTGGGTGTTTGTCCCAGATAGGTAGATCACTCTGTTGATTTAGGTCACCTCCTAAGACAAACGACAGTAACCTGCAAGTCTGCTAATGCTCCACCCAGTTGCCTTTAATAGGAGAACCTGCCTGAGCAAGGAGCCTGTAGCTTGGCATGACAGTCTTCCAAACAAAGCTTTTTAGCTTTAATGTTTTTTAGATGTAATGCTTTTTAGGCCAGGGCAAACAGGATAGGATAGCTGCAAAAGCAGCTCCTCCACCAGATCCATCTGCAGGCACAGGTCTGAGTCACACGGTGAAATGGGGACAAGGGGGTATCCCGGGATCTATAAATGGACATGGAAGAGAGCAGCAAATGGACATTGAAGAGCAGTCCAGGCAAGACGTAGGTAGTTGGGCAGGAACCAGAGACTGGGCTACCTCTGGAGGAGTGACGGGTACTCCTGCTCTCACTGTCAGCACAATGCAGCAGAAGCAGAAGGAAAGCACCCTAAAGGTGGTATTAAAGCCTGGTCTGAACATGGACAAACTGACAAGAATAAGAAAAAACAGTATTTTGCCAACTTCATCCCAGTTCTCTGGCTGTAGCTTGATACTGCAGTTGTGAGATAGGTCCAAAGATCCAGGAGAAAAATAATTTTAAACCAAACATTGTACAGCTCCCATCCCGATCTCCTTCTCTTCAGCTCTAATGCCTTCATGCTGTCACATGAGATGAGTGACGGTAGGAAGCTGAACCTTTGCAGACTTCCCGAGACTCTCGTTACGGCCGCAGCGCATGCGCAGCCCGGCCAAGCGGCAGG